ATGTATTCTATTTTCATCCTCTTCTTTCCTCTGCACTACTCATTGAGCCCTAGGTGGCCACTCATAAGCTGTTAAGACCCAAGTTGCTAGTCTCAAAAGTAGAATGTAGAATATTATATGAGGGTCATGTTATTCCAACTGGCCATGGTGTCTCATCAGACTGGCCCTGTGCTCCTAATCCCACCAACTCATTGCCTTAAGGTATTTGGTAATGTCTAAAAAGCTTTCATAATTTTTCTTCTGTCACCACAACTGGACCAATAAATAGCATCATGTGATAAAGAAAAAAAATCAAAGTTGTTAAAGACTCCATTTTACTTGAATCCACTATCAACACTCATGGATAGACATTAAGCGTGTTTCCATCTTTTTGCTGTTGTGAATAGTGCTGTAATCAAATAATACATTGCATTACGCACATCTGCTGCACAATACCACGTCAGAGTATTCAAGAGCAAAGATAACAGTTTGAGGACTAAGGTGCACCTGACCCAAGCCATGGTATTTTTAATAGTTTCATATGCATGTGAAATTTGGACAATGAATAAGGCAACCCATACAAGAATTGATGCATTTGAATTATAGTATTGTAGAAGAATATTAAAAGTACCATGGACTACCAAAAAAAAAAAAAAAACAAACAAGGCTGTGTTCTTAGAAGTACAGCCAGAATGCTCCTTAGAAGCCAGCATGATGAGACTTCATCTCTCATATTTTAGAGACGTTATCAAAAGAATCCTGTCAGTCCCTGGTGAAGGACATAATGCTTAGTAAGGTGGAGGGTCAGCAAAAAAGAGGAAGACCGCAACAAGATGGATTGATACAGTGTCAGCAACAGTGGGTTCAAGCATAAAAACAATTGTGAGGAAAGCACTGGACCATGCAGTCTTTTGTTCTGCTATGCATAAGGCCACTAAAAGTTGGAACCAACTTGGTGACACCTAACAATAACAAATGCTCCATCACATTCATAGATGTGTTTGCAGCATAGGTAAATACCCCTGTACAAATATCCTCTGTTAAACCTTTATATATTTGTGGGTATGTGTCTCCCTCCTATACCCTGTCAGCCTGTGTATCTTCCCACGTATCTGCATGAAGAACACTGTTGTTGCGGGGTTTTATATATAACAGTATTAACTTGTTTCCTTTAACCTTTGCATTCTATCCTATGTTTTTGTCTGCCAAGCTCCCTCTTGTATCTTGCCTTCTCCTGTATTTATTTCTGTTCCCTTTAACTCTTGCATCCCACCCTATGATTTCCCTGTCTTCTTAATTCATCTGCCAACTTCCCTCATGTATATTGCCTTCTTTATCACCCAAGGTAATACATGTCTGCCTTCAAGCTTCTATCTCACCCCTGGTGTAACCATCAAAGCATGTTTCTATTAGCATGGCAACCTTTTCTTGAGTTTTTATAATAGTAGCCTCATACAATATCTGTCCTGTTTGATTGAGTACTTTCACTCAGCAAATGTTCTTCAGATTCATCCATGTTATGAGGTGTTTTACAGATTCATCTTTATACTTCAACATTGCATAGTATTTCATTGTGTGTATGTGCCCAAGTTTGTTTATCCATTCATCCATTGATGGGCATTTAGTCTATCTCCATTTTGTTGCTATTGTGACTAGAGCAGCAATGAACATGGATGTGCATATATCTATTTTTAACCACAGCTCTTTTATCTTGAGGATGTATACCAAAAGGAGGGATTGCTGTTTACAACTCTTTGAGGAAGTTCTGTAATGTTTTCCACAGTAGTTGAACCATTTTAAAGTCACACCAGCATTGTATGAGGGTCCCAGTCTCTCCACACCCTTGCCAGAATTTGTTTTTGAACTTTGCTATTAATGCTGTGATGAGATGATATCTCAGAGTTTTGATTTGCATCTCTCAAGTAGACTCGACTCAGAAACTCTATACAGGGTTGCTGTGGGTCGGCACCAACTTGACGGCACTTAACAATAACAATGGAGTCCTGGTGTGGTACTGTAGGATAAGCACTGGACTGCTAACTGGAAGTTCTGTGGTCCAAACTCACCAGCTGCTCTTTGGAAACGCTGTAGAAGTTCGCTATGAGTTGTTAATGACTTAACACTTAACAATAACAACCACAGTGACTAATCACTGTGAACATTTCTTATGTTTGTTGGCTTCCTGAATTTCATATTTGGTGAAGTATCTGTTCATGTTCTCTGCCAATTTTTTGATTGGATTATTTATCTTTTTCTTGTAGAGATGTTGAAGTTTTCTATAAATTATGTAGATTATTCCCTTGTCTGCTGTTTGTTGTTGTTGCTAAGAGTTATTGAGTTGATTCCGACTCATAGGACCCTGTACAAGGTTTCTGAAGAGCAGCTTGTGTGTTTGAACTGCCTACCTTATGGTTCACATCTAGTGTCACACCAGGAGTCTGATATGTCCTTGCAAAAAAATTTCCCCATCTGTGGTCTTTGTTTTTACTCTTTTGTGGAATCTTTTAATGCACAGAAGTGTCTAAGTTTTAGAAGGTCCAAGTCAACTATTTTGTCTTCTTTAGTTTTTGTGTTTTCAGTTATGTTTGATAGTGTATTTATGCCTTGTATCATATCATCTGATTTCATCTGCCCCTCCTTTTTCGTTGGTGATCTTTATAGTTTTAGGTTTTACATTTAAGTCTTTAATTCACATTGAGTTCATTTTTGTATATTGTGTGAGATATGGATCTTGTTTTATTCTTCTGCAAATGTTTTGCCAGCATTGTTTGTTGAAGAGACTACTTCTTCCCCATTTAATGTGTTTTGGCCTCTGCTGACTGTATGTGGGTGGATTTACTTCTGGCATGGTTGCTGTCACCTGTTGGATAAGGCAAGAAGAGAAAACACACAAATGAAAAACAAGCAACAGCGTAAAACAGAAAATAATAAAGGAGAAAAAAGAGTTAAGAAAAAACAAAACAGACAACAGCTAGAAATACAATAACCACAAAGAGAAAAGAGAGAAAGTAAAAGAAGAAGAGGAGAAGCCCACAGAAGACAACAATAAGACAGAAAAGAAAAAGCACTAAACACAGTTAAGGAAAGGGGTAAAGAAAAGAGAAAGAGACCAGAGAAATTTTAAAGAATAATCAAGAGCAAAAGAAAGAAAGAAGAGATGGGGGACCAAGGTTATAGTTTCCAAATACAGATTCTTATTGGTTTCCAACCTTTGCATTCCAATCACCAGTAAATATCATTGCATCAATTTCAGGTGGGAGAAGTTGGAAGAAGTCTTAAATTTCTTCATCCTTGACATTAGTTTGTTGTATACATTTGAATTTTTGTTGTTGCTAAGTGCTGTAGAGTCAGTTCCAACCCATAGTGACCCTATATAGGTTTCCAAGGGGTGGCCGATGAGTTTGAACCACTGACCTTGCAGTTCAAACCGACCTTGTGATCAAGTGCTTAATATGTTTAATATGTTTCTTCATTTGAGCGAATATTGTCTGTTGTCTCTGTGGCATTGTGGAGTTGTATTGTGGAGCTGTCATTTTGTATCCAATTGACGATTATTTGTTGATGTGTTCTTAGTCTCTAACTAGCTGTCTACTGTGGGTGTAATTAAGGAATGGAAGCATGTACACTGTTCTTGTTTGCTATTTATGCATCTTAGTGTAGGGTGGGTTTGTCTGGCGTTGGCTGCTATCTGATATTGATCATGTGGTATAGGAGCTGGCATTGGCTCTTGCCCTGTGGTTAGAGTTGCAGAGGGTACAGTTGTGGCTGGGCTGTATGGGTATGGTTACTGTATCCTTTCAGGTGGGAAAGAGAAAACCTTTTTCTCTCACACACACAAACACATACACACATGAAAACAAAACAGAATAAACAAACAAGAAACCAACAATGAAAAGAGAAAATAATAAAACAAAATAAAAACAACAGTCAGCAAACAGAAAAAAAGAATATAACTATAACACTACTATAAAGAATGAAGTCCTATTGTGGTACTATAGGATAAGCTCTGGGTCACAAGGTCGGTTTGAACTGCAAGGTTCTTGGTTCAAATCCACCAGCTGCACCTCAGAAACCCTATACTGTGTCTCTATGAGTTGGAACT